TAAATAAAGACGTTTGTGCGGACCTCTGCCTTTAACTCCGGGGATGCTGATGCATATAAAGCAGCCAGGTACGACCTCCGAAAGTCCATAAAAAAGGCCAGAAAGGACTACAGGGACAAAATGGAGTCCAGCTACCACAGCTTTGACACCAGGCGACTGTGGAATGGACTACGCTGTCAGCTGTGCATCACATGTACATTTTTTTATGAAATTGACCGTTCTGGAGCGCAGAATGGACAAACTTTGGACGAACTGCCCAAAATGTGTTGACAGAGACATTTCAGGGATGTTTTCTGCTCTCCAGATGGATTAATTACATTAAAAATGTTAATCTCATGATGGCAGATTAATCTGCGTTAATGCTGACAGCCCTAACCTAAACACTAAAAGAAAGATCGTGTGTGTCCTCATTAGTATAGGTGTTTGTGTTGGTGTGTGGGGCTGTAACCCCATGTAACAAGTAGTATAACAAATTACTTTCTTCCCCAGAGTAATTTAGTAATGTACTTCACTACTTTTAAGAAAAGTATTAAGTAATGTGTGATACATGACTTTTCTTGAGTAAAAGCCTGACACTGCTGATGAGTAGACTGAGGACTAAAGCAAGCCTGAAATAGTCTGTCAATAAGCTCTTGTCAATAAAGTTGGGATTGAAAGAGACCAAAGTCCCCCTGGATACCTGTTACTGCAGCTGAGAGAGGGTAAAAGGACTGGACGTTTGTGTTTAGCGAGACACGGAGTGCTAAAACAGAGTTTATCTTTGAATTTCTTTGACAAAAGTAAATCATCTTTAACTCTGAAGACATCATCTGAAGAGTCACTCTGGGGAGTCCAAAGTTACAAATTACAGCAACCACTGCCCAACACTGTGGACCCACTAAACACATTTATGATTTTTGACTTTGACTCTGCTCATTTTTGCCATGTTGGATTTGGAATATGGAGGTAAGTTCATATTCAGGCCTGGATGTGCTCACCATCCTCTGTCTCTTTAAAATGAACTCAGACAGTAAGAGGACGTTGATTGGTTTTCCATCTGAATCATCAAGACGACTGGAATAACACTGTTTGATAGTATAAATGACTATTGATCTATTTATAGTTATACTGAAATATGTAGCTGGCAGTAGTACTCTGTGCCACAATCATGGGTCTTTTAACCCAGCGTTTTGAGTTTTAGTTTATGTTCATGTTTATGGTTTATGTTTAAGCCCTTTAGTTTTTCTAAGTTCATTTTTTATCATGCCTAGGTTCTTATAGTTCTTTGTTATTAGATTACCCATGTGTCTTCCAACCCCTGTTAAGTCTCCCTTGCCCTTCATGTGTTTCATGTCTGTGTCTTATGTTGTCAAGTTCAGGTTGTCATGTTTGCGTCTTATGTTTCCTGTTTTATTTTGAAGAGGTCTTGTGTTTCTATGTTCACTGTATTTAGTTTTACTCTTTCCCTGTGAGTTCATTATGTTCATGTGGGTTGTGCTGTTTTGATCTTTATAGTTATAATTTCCCTAGGTTTCATTTATGGTTATCATAGGTTTAGTTCTTGAAATATGGCTTCCCTGTGTTCCATGTTGTGCTTACTGTGCCTTTCTGTACCATGTTTCAGGTTCCTATGTTCTGTCTCCCCAGTTACTGTTAAGTTTACATGTCAGTGTGTTTCCTGTTTTACTTTGAAGGTCTGTGTCTCATGTCAGTGTTTCTAGTTTTGCTTCCCTTGTCTCGTCCAGTCTGATTACTCCCAGCTGTGCTCTCCGTCTGTGTCTCATTCCCTCGTTATCCCTCAGTGTATTTAAGCCCTGTGTTTCTCTTTGTCTGTTTCGTAGTCTCCCTCATGGCTGTGTTTCCCTGTGTGTCAGTTTGTCCATGTCCCAGTTTAGTTGTGTTATGTTTTTCGTTCCATTCTACAATAAAGCAGCTTTTTGAGTTTAATTCCTGCATTGTGAGTTTTGCGTAGGGGTGGGCGATAGAAACGATATACGATAGAAACGATATAAATTTGGCCAACGATAGAGATCTTGACTATACCGCTCTATCGCGATAGCGCATGTTGATGATATCATCAAGCTGCGCCTGTTTTGGTTGAAAGCATCGCAGCGGCTACAAGCGTTATCATCTGCAAATTATGCCTGGCGACAGTCATAGCAAAGAGATGAAGTACTTTTGAAATATGGGGAAAGCCAAAAACTGCGCTTCCTCCACTT